CAACTGAGTTTGGAAGGTTTCAGTTAGGCTAGTGAGACTTCTGTTTCTGTTTTCCGTCCGTCAGCTTATTAATTCTGGGATGAATTGGAGAGCCAAACGGAGACAGAAAGTTGCAGGCAGTTCCTCTGTTTCGTTTTAAGCACAGTCATGGCAGAAAATGCAGTTTCACAAAGATATGTGGTGGAAAAACAAAGAAGAATCCTCACTGCTATTTCATGTAAATTTGGATACTCATTTTTCATTCTTATCCAGAATTTCGAATTACTCGTATTATTAAAAATACTTTCCAGTCCTTTGTCCGGTGATAATTCAGTCAGTTGAAGGGTTTCTTGATGGGAAAGGGCTGTCTCTTTGTGTTCAACAAAAGGGTTCACAATCCACATATTTTGCCTCCAGGGATCGTCATGTTCGGGATAATATTTTTCAAACATCATGTTGAAGTGGGCTGCAATAATATCTGAAACTGAATTGTGTGAATAGAAATCATATGCTTCCATAATATAATCTGTGTACGACTGAAACATTCCATTGTTTCCTTCTGCAATCATATTAAGCCAGAGTTTGCGTTTCTTTTTGAATGATTTGATCTTGTTCCACACATTAATTATTGTTGTATCTGGACCGTGAAGTTTTAAATTCAACTCGTTCATGTAAGAAAATATGTCGCTGAAATACACCAGCCTGGCTACCAATTTCTTATCCTGGAAATAATGGGACAGGTTACTTTTCTTATCAATTAGAAAGAGCTCGATTTCCTTCGGAGTTCATATTACCTCTTGAGAACTTTACCGCGTGACAACCAACGAACTTCCGAATGGAAAATAAGATTTTGATGATCAGAGCTCATTTCATCGCACAATGCTTTTAACAGTCTTGTATTTAAAGCACTTTTTTATATAATTAATAATCTTAACAGATTGAGACAGGACTTCATTAAGCTCAGGTGCCATTTTTTGGAGGCCATATTTGCCTATGAATGTAGCAATGCGTTGACACTAAGTTATTGGCCGCCATATCATTAATTTTAGTGACCAAACCTGAATTTCTACCTGTAAGACAGGCAGCGCCGTCAGTGCAAACTCCAACGCAATTTTTCCATTCGAGATCTCTCTCATCAATGAAACCATTTAAAACTTTGAAAATTTCACTGCTGGTAGCGTGCGTAGGTATTTCAGAAACACTTAAAATGTCTTCCTTCATGTCACTCTCATCATGGTCAATATATCGTACATACGTAAGTAAAATGCTGCTGTTCTGAATATCTGTAGATTCGTCCAGTTGTAATGCAAACAATTTCGATTTTTTAATTTTTTCAATGACTTGCTTTTCTGTATCTTCTGCCATATCAGATATCTGCCTACCAACTGTATCATTCGACAATGGGATGTCTTTCATTTTACTTGCGGCAGACTGGCCCAATATTTGATTACAAGCAGCAGTCAAAGAAGGCTTAATGAGTTCTTCCCCAATGGAATATGGTTTTTTTTACATTTAGCTATCTGTAGTGATATTAAATAAGATGCCGTCAGAAGTGAAGTGTCAGTGGTTGAAGCTTGGTAAATAATTTTTTTTTCTACCTTAAGTGCATCTCTTTGCGCACAAACAATTCAATGGGTTTGTTGACTAGATCAGAATGTCTTGTGTCGAGATGTCGGGTAAGTCGCTATGGCTTCATAGCTTCATTTCCCGGAACAGTAGCACAAATGGCACGTTGAGGTCGTGGCAATTGATTAGTGTTAGGACATTGTATGAAACCAAATTTTAAGTAGCTGTCCATGTAATTATGAATGGATGCAGACTTTTTCTGCTGTGTGCTGGTGGTTTTCCCTTCATTTTGTACATCCTGGAGATCGCTATGTAGGCTTTAGGTGGATGAATCATTACTTGTTGCGTCACAAACACTTTCAATACGAGATTTCTTAACACCAAACTTAAACAAAGGCCCCTGTCTCTTATTCATATTAAAATTTAAATCACTCAGGTTTCGAAACAAGCACTTACACACTGCAATGCGAACTTGCGAAGAAATAGTATTCAGTATTACTAGATTTGAGAACCGGATACAGACTGCCTTGATCTTCAAATTCAGTGGAAACATTTTCTTTATACTTCCTTGCTGATTGGTCACCGACATTTGCAACACAGATGTCATTTCGCTCAGTTCTGAGAACAGAGGATATGCCGCCCATTGTTGTAATCGGCTTGCAGGCAATTTTTATGACTGGTCATAAACATCGGTATTGCCTTTCCCGAATGTTGAAAGATTTGGATGTCTGAAAATTCCCGATCATTCATGAATACTTCCACGTTTAAAAATGTGCGGCTTGGTCACTGACATTTGCTACACAGATTTAGGTGTTCTGTGTCTGAGCTTCTCGACACAAATATTATTCTCCTCAGAATATTTCCACTATAAAATATTTATTCATGAAATATGCTTAGAAAATGAAAATGACAAATTCCAGAAGAACCTCTCGCGGCCCAGTATAATTGATGCTAGGGCCCACTACTGGGCCGCGGCCCGGCTTTTGAGAAGCACTGGTCTAGACAGTCGGCTCGCAGATGGCGGTAAGGTTGTCAGCCTTGCACGCCGGCCGCCCTTTACCCCCCAGGAACATTTCTGGTTCTCATTTCTGTTAGAGAGTGAGTCGACTCCAGGGCCATAGTACCTCTGGAAGGATTAGGTAAATTGAAAAAAAAATATACCTCTTTGGGACTGGAACCCATTGCCCTCCAGCTTGTAGCATAGTGCCTCAAACAACTATGCTAGCGCGTGCCATTCTTTTATCAAATACTAAAAAAAATTTACTGAAAGGAAGTAGGCTATTAGTTCTCCCAGAACTTCTCGTTGTCCAGAAGAATCCCAAAACGGTATTACGAATTGCAGCTATAATACTGCTTTCTCCTTATATTTTCATTCCCTTGAAACGAAAAGAAGAATAGAAACTGGAAGTATACGTTCAGAATTAAAATAATGAATGAATGAATGAATCTGATAACGTGAATTTGTACGATTAATGTACGACATTTCGTAGAAAATATACTGACGTGGCTGTCCTGGTAATTTTATGCGCAATAAAACAAACTCCGTGGTTTTAGTCCGCAAGCGAACTGTACCGACCGAGCGACCGCCGCTTGTCGGCGAAGTTAGTTTCAACTTTAGCGAATAGAGGATGTCGCGCGGTGAGCGCAACGAATCCCCACGGCCGTTAATTCTGTTTTCTAGACCGGAGCCTCTATTTTCGTGAAATAGCTCCTCAATTATTATCACGAGGCTGAGTGGACCCCGTTCCAGACCCACTGCTTCTCAGAAGAAATCTGGTAGTGCCGAGAATCGAACCCGGACCCCTGGATCTGTAGCCAGGAACTCTGACCACTAGACCAATAGTTAAATAAATACAGTTTTCTGAATGGAAATCGGTGACAAGGAACACACATTGATCGGAACCCCTAAATTATCGCGTTAATTTTGCGTGCTGAACTGAAAATTTTAATTACAGGAGATAGTTCCAAATTTACGATTCGAAGAAAATGAATATAATCGTAAAATAAATTCTCAGATCACTATCTTGATTTCATATAATAAATCTCGCAATTTAAATGACGTGTAAAGTGTAAAGATAATTTGATGCCTGTTATCTCCCTCCTTTCAGATAAATTAACGTTTTTTGGAACAGTGAGTGAGGTGATAACATGAAGTTCTGGAAAGAACTAATTGTCTACTTTCCTTTCACTATACATTGGGCATCTGTGCGACACGGACCTCGCAGAAAACACGTCCTGCAGATCGTCTGTGGTTTCGCGTGTGTTCATTTCCGTCCGAATGTTCTTAGCGAGCCGTTGCTTAACAACGGCCGTCTCTTCGGGCTTTACTATTCCAGCTTTCATGCGTTGTGCAGGGGAATACAGATATCTAGGTGATCTGATAAACTGGAAATGCATAAGAAGTAGTGGTCAGGAGACCGAGACTGCTCATTGGGCAGACAACTCAGACTTGTCACATGGATGTCATGTGACCCAGGACGTTGGTGGGTTGACTGGAATATGTTGGCCGAGCGACAACATAATAATTCAGCGATGATGATTGTCGGTTGGCTGTCTGAGCTTGGTAAGTTCTTGAGTAGCTGCACAGCTAGCGGCTTCTCAAGAAGTGTTCAGCTCCATGAAGTTAATGTATTTCTGATAATCAATTTTTCAAATTTAATCGAACCAGTTTTCAGAAATTCTTTTTTTTGGGGGGGGCTTTGTCCGTCATCCGATTTACAAAAAAGAACCCTGCAGAATACAGCGTTTGGGATACTGATCTGTTTCCGACCTCAAGTGTGGGAGGGTGGGGGACGACTACTGTGTTGAGTCCCTTAGAAAGAGCTGACCTCAGTTAGGTCCAGTGATTGAGGTTAGCTCTTTCTAAGAGACCCAACAGGGTAGATGTGTCCTTTCCTCATCTGAGAACGGAAACAGATGCAGTTTTCAAAATAGTTGTGTTCTCTAGTTTTTTAGTATACCGGGCGATGGATAAGTCCAAAAACCCAGCAATTCCAAGTGTTATGCACCATCATCAGAAACATTTATATTTTACAAACCAGTTTTGTCTTCATTTAAAGTAACATGTAATGCGTATCATTGCCGTATGTGTTCAACTCTAGCTTTTGCCCTGTCATTTCATCCCTTCAGCTGTTCTCAGGAACCCCATTTCAGATATATGAATTATATTTTTAACAGTCTCACCTTATCCCAAATCTACATCCATTCAGTACTTTATTTTATAAAATTTAACCTTGTGTCGTTTTGATTTTCCTTATTTGACATTCTTTTATGGTAACGCGTATGACACAAATAGTGCGATATTTTTGTAAATTTAGGTTATTTTGATATACTCATTTGAGTTCGTATAGTAGGCCCATGTAGCACTCAGAGCTTAAGGCATTAACAATGATTGTCATTTCACGGCCTGTATTTATTTGAATTTTTATTATTAGTAGTATTTTTTATCCTTACAGGGCGGATTTGCACGGGTACACGAATTGATTGATCTCACTACCAACACTGTGTACGCTGGCAAAATCATCCCCTTGAATCGAATCACAAAAAGACATCATATGCAGAAGGTAAGAAAATATCACGTTCTTTGGCCTCCTCTTAACTGTATTTAGTTACTTGTCCGTTTTGTAATTTGGATATTGGTTATGAACGAATTTTTTGTCTCACAAGAAGCAAAACATCACGTTTCTCTAAATTTCTTTTCTGTCGATTCAACATTATATCATTACTATAATCACTTCAGTGCAGCTCTTTTTTTATTTATTTACTGCTAACTCAGCAGCTCGAAGGCCAATTATATAGGCAGACAAAGCGAGGAACACAACAAATACATGCACAAAAACAGCGACAAAACAAGCAACGTGTATCGTTTAGACAGTAACAATTCAGTTTGTATGCAGTCATGCCAACCATGATAGAACGATAAGAAATAAGTATATATAAATAAATTAATACCGAGTACAGTTAATATTTTTAATAATTAATACGTATAAATTGACCGCCTCTGTAGTCTAATGGTCAGAGTTCCTGGCTACAGATCCAGAGGTCCCGGGTTCGATTCCTGGCACTACCAGATTTTCTGAGAAGTAGTGGAACGGGGTCCACTCAGCCTCGTGGGGATAATTGAGAAGCTATTTCAAGGAAATAGCGGCTCCGGTCTAGAAAACCGAAATTAACGGTCGTGGGGATTCGTTGAGCTGACCAAGTGACACTCACTATCCGCAGAAGTTGGCACTAATTTAGCCGACAAACGCCGATCGCTCGGTCGGTATTGTTCGCTTGCAGACTACAGACCACAGAGTTTAATGCGTATAAATTATAAAATATCAGGGGAAACAGTTGTTTCAAATCCACCATCTCATCAAACAGCAGTAATTTTTACTAGAAAAGTAGGTAGTAAATATAGAGAAATCTCTGATTTACCGAGCAGGAATTCGCAAACCAGTTTCCGAAACAGAATTGCAGAATTTAGAGCCAAAATAAACTTGAGCCAGGAACAGTGTATCAAGGTGATACTTTCTCATAAGTAAAATGTGCAATTTTAACCGCTGTAAAACAGTGGAATAACTGTAAAGGGCTTGAGGAAATAAATTATTGAAACAAGGCTGCAAACTTTGTTTGCTTCGTTCTAGTTTCTTGGCATCAATAGACATAATACAAATCCAAACAGCAGAGTCGTATTCAAGCTTAGATCTTACTAACGTAAAATATAACATGTACATACATTCAATGAATGCGGTGAAAGTAACACCGCGAACTGGACCCAACAACAAGATCAGAAAAATTGTGTCTTCTGGGACATAACGCCGTATAATCTGTTGAAAGTCAAGTGACGTTTCGAAGGAACATATCGCCTCAATCTTAAGGGTCGAAGAATAAGACAAGCAAGAAACCAGTGTGAAGCAGGTAGCAAGTAGCGCTCTGCTTTATGGGAGTTTCTTTGGTTCATGTAGAAAGGGCTGCAAAGCGACATTTCTTTATCAGGCTTTCCAAGGCCCCTAGTTTTCATAGAAACGAATTCTCCTCTTCGTTCATCAGTTCACACACTATGACTTACCCAGGGCCGCGCCATAGCTCAAGCGGTTAGTCGCTGGCTTCCCACCGCGGCGGCCCGCGTTCGATCTCGGGTCTGGTGAAGTGAGATTTGTGGTGGACAAAGTGGCGCTAGGGAAGGTTTTCTCCGAGTACTTCGGTTTCCCCTGCCAATCTTCATTCCACCAATTGCTCCACAATCACCCTCACCTATCATTTGGTGCTGGTACAATAGGCCAGAAGTGGCCGCAATACAAGGGACTTAGTCCCACCCCACTAGCAATAAAAAAATCACTTACCCACAACTGGGGATACATGGAAAAGCGTTTATAGCGATCCTAGCGGTACATATGAGAGAAAATCACACGTACAAATGTGTATTTGTGTTTATGTACTTCACAGAGTACCACATAGACATTGCTCGAAGGTTGTTTGAAGTTCATGTCCGTTCAGTCGAAACGTCCTTCCAATGTATTTAATCTCACTTCGGGCATTCAATGTCAGTTTACAGCCTGAAACGTATTAAAGCAGATCTGACTTATATTCTGGTTAATTTATACGATGCCATACTGCGTAATCGAGTTAACTTTAATGTTGTATGATCTATATCTCGAAAACAGTACGTTGTATGAAAAAAATCAATATTGTAGCATGTACAGCCGTTTCTAGGCAACGGCTCGGCAAACACGTTCCCGCTGCAACGGATACGCATGCAACAATAGAGACACTGTTGGAAACGGTGTTTTTTACTCGATCCCTGCAAAGGGGTTATGAGGAGGACAGTTAAAGCAAGAGGCGATATCGAATACGTCCACCGTAGCCCTGCGAGTCGTAGGAGGCGACGAAAAGGGATCCCAGTGCCTGGGGGTAAAACTGAGCCACCCTGTTCCTAGGGGGATATAAATACGGGGACCTGGCCCTCCAGGTTAAGGGAGTCTCAAATCTGTGACAGTAAAATGTGGTCATGAGTCCCGTGGGACTCGGGCCTGAGAATGACTGTGCTGGCGAGGACTGGCAGCGATTGTAAACGACAGACCCATCCTCTCATCAGAGTGGATGTTACATAAGGACTATAACCGCAAATGTTCAGTTGGAAAATAAAAATTCTCGCCGTGGGTCTCAAGGGACTTGTCGCCAAGATGAACTGATCGGCGGTAAACCGCCATTCGTAAAGTAACTCTGAACTCTGAACTCTGAAGAATAGACAGTCGGCGGGAGCCGCCGTTCAGAGAGGACTTGAGCACGGAATCAGAGGAATACCATTGTTGGAGCCGTTACCAGGAGACATCTAGTAACAGACTGAGAACATGAGTCTGTGTTCTCTAGTGATTTGTAAAGTGTGGAAATTATCGATTGAACTATAAATAGGTGTAATTATGAGTTGTGTGTTAAAGTGGTCAGTATATCCAAGCCAATCTATGGTCACTCTTAACACGTGACAATATTAAATATACATGTAATTAGTGGAGATTTCATGAAACATTTTTGTTGACTTAGTATAGCTCAATCGATATAGAGACTGGACGCACGTCGTTCGATTCCCGGCACGAGTAAGATTTCACTTCACAGCATCTAGACCGACTTTGGGTCCTACCCAGTGGATACCGGGGACTCTTTTCCTGGGGGTACAGTGGCCTGTGCGTCCATCTGCTGCTGAGATCAATAATGTTGGAGCTATACCTCCAATTCCCTATACATCTTCATGGCGTAGTGCTTAATTAATTAATCACACGAACAAGTTTAACTTTTCTAAGTATGTAGAATTTTATGTAAATTTGAAATTCTATTGAACATTACTTACTTACTTACTTACTTACTTACTTACTTACTCATGCAGCTGAGCCCTTCTGGAGGAGCCACCAATTCTGCAGCTACTCAAGAATTTCCCAGCATTTTATGGAACCCGAAAGTTCATTACCATGTTCACAAGAGCCCTCCACTGGTCCCTATCCTGAGCCATACCATCCCATCCTATCTCTAAGATCCATTTTAATATTGTCCATCCACCTACGCCTTGGCCTTCCCAGTGGTCTCCTTCCTTCTGGCTTTCCCACCAATATCCTATATGCAGACTTCGTCTCCCCCATTCGTGCTACATGGCCTCCCCACCTCATCCTCCTTGACTTGATCATTCTAATTATACTTGGAGAAGAGTACAAGTTATGAAGCTCCTCATTATGCAGTTTTCTCCAACCTCCTGTCACTTCATCTCTCTTCGATCCAAATATTCTCCTCAACACCCTGTTCTCAAACACCCTCAGTCTGTGTTCCTCCCTTAATGTCAGAGACCAAGTTTCACATCCATACAGAACCACAGGCACAATTATAATTTTTATATTCTAATTTTATGTTTTTGGACAGTAGACGAGAAGACAAAAGGTTCTGGACTGAATGGTAGCAAGCATTACCGGAGTTCAATCTCCTCTTATTCTATTGGACAAAACGAATTTAAATGATAAAAATCAGTAATGACTCTCAATGCTAAATTTAATCAGGTCTCGTTCAATTAAGTCGCTGTTAAACTCTGCATCATTTCATGCCACGGAGACGACGCGCTTTGCTAAACGGCTTTTACTGATGTTTACGCATGATGAACCGTCTCTGTGGTCTAGTGGTCAGAGTTCTTGGCTACATATCCAGAGGTCCCGGCTTCAATTCCAGTCGCTGCCAGATTTTCTGAAAAGTAGTGGGTCTGGAACGGGGTCCACTCAACCTCACGAGGATAATTGAGGAGCTATTTCAAGGAAACGGCTGCTCCAATCTAGAAAACCCAGAATAACGGCCATGGGGATCCGTTGCGCTGACCACGGGACACCCTCTATCCGCTAAAGTTGGCACTAACTTCGATATGCGGCTGTCGCTCGGTCAATATAGTTCACCTGCGGACTACAGGCTACGGGGTTTGTTTTTTCTTTTGTTTTTACGCAGTATGGCAGTGGTACTGAAACCGACCGCAAGAAGCTCCATGTATTGTGCCAAGAGCCGGGCTTTAATACAGCCCTGTTTCACGGGTTGCAGAAATATGATTGTGTATTACTCGCTATAGCTCAGTCCGTATAAGGAATAGGCTATGGGATGGACGACCGAGGAGTCGGAGTTCGATATCTGACATGGGAAAGAGATTTTTCTGTTCTCCATGACGTACAGATCGGCTCTGGGGTCGATCCATCCTTCTATTCTGTGGGTGTCTGGGGCTTGACGCTTACGACTGACCTCCATCTCGTTGCGAGGTCAAGAATAGTGGAGCTATACCCCTGTCCCACGCACGTCTTCATGGCATGGTGCTTACTTAATTAAAGCCATGGATAACTTGACCTTCATCGCCAATGAAATGTAAGTGCATACAAATAAAAACAAACATACTCTGTGACTTCAGTCCGCACGCGAACTATACCGACCGAGCGACCGCCGCTGGTCGCCGAAGTTAGTACCAACTTTAGCGGGTAGAGAGTGTCGCGTGGTCAGCGCAACGGATCCCCACGGCTGTTAATTTCAGTTTTCTAGACCTGATCCTCTGTTTCTTTTTAATAGCTCC